CTTTTTTGATTTTTTTACCCTGTCGACACGCCTATTATAGAACAATAGGTTGCGGTCACCTTTGACCGGTTGATGTTTGACTGACAGTTTAATTGAAATAAACGGCTAATTCATGGAGGTTCGGAAGTTTAGGACGCCCGCTTCTCATGCATGAGGGTGCGGGTTTAACACCTTGTGATTTTGTATTAAAAATGAATTATGAAATCTTTGATTAACTTTTTTTTATAATTAATGGGCTGACGTTCGACCACTATCTCGCCTGGTGGTCAACGATGATGCGGTCTACAATGGAGCACGTCGTCCCATAAACAACCTATTTACTCGGGCCTTGAAGAGACCCAGGTTATACCCTTCAGGAAATACAGACTCTGGCAAAGAATTCCACTCTTTAGCAGTAAGCACAAAGAAGCTTGAACCACGATATCAAATGAAATGAAATCTTTGATTTACTTTTTTTTATAATTGATGTGCCGACGTTTGACCACTATCTCGCCTGGTGGTTAGCGATGATGCGGTCTACGATGACGCACGTCGTCCCATAAGCAACCTATTCACTCGGGCCTTGAAGACTCCCAGGTTATTATACCCTTCAGGAAATACATACTCTGGCCAAGAATTCCACTTCTTAGCAGTACTGCTCTTCTAAGTACTTAAGCCGAGGGGAGTGGAAACTATCGTTTTTTTTCTTCTCCTCTTATAATACCTTCTGATTCACCCTGGGACGCGCCGGACTTCAGTGTTTCGAAGTTTTCATGGTCATATCTACTGTAGATCTTGGTTTACAGGAGTTAAAGCGGTTTTGGGAGGCAGCAGCGGGCTTGTCCCATTAAAAAAAGTACTACTTAAGCTGAATATAAATATTTTCTTCCCCACAGACCATCACAAGCGTTCATTCATCCCATGCCTCGTGGGACCGTTCCTAGAAGTATCGTTCCTTCGAGATGAAGAAGTACGGAACACTACCATACCGATATTCTTCGATATGATGCAGACGGAGTACAGTCACAGTGTGTTAAATGGGGATGCAAGTGAGTATCATAGGTTTTATTGGAATATTTAAATTATTGTAGAACAATTTATGATAGTAAATTATACACTTGAGATTTCTTTAAGAATAACTCTACATAAGCTGTTCAGTTATTTTCTCGTTTGCCACGAAAAAACAGACGAAACGCTTTTATTGAAAACTTACATTCTAAAATTGTAAATGGACTATTCCTTTATTCTGTTAAGACCGACTGCATCGTTGGCAAAGTTGTTGCAAGTGCGACTATTGGTCTCGGGCCCGATTCCCGGGTCGTGCAAAGTATTTACTGGGTTAAAAAATCTCCGTAGTAGTACAGAGTCTGGAATTGTAGGTATATATGGCAATAGGTTCACCCCCTATTACATGGGACTTATAACATAAATAGTGAAAAGTAAGTGTTACATTGTAACTGTTTATCCCTTCGGGGATAAAAGGCGTATTGTTATGTTTATTCCGTTAAGTTATATAGAGCAACAATAATTATAAGATTGTTTAATTCAATTCAATCTCTAATGCACTCTGAAATCTTAAATGCCTATTGTTTTTTATTTCAACAGACGAAAGCCCACTAAAAGAACTAGAAAGCGAAATGATAGACAAAGTAGACGTGTTAGTTGAGAAGGGGTACGGGGATTCAATATGGCGGGCTCGCTTTGTATCGCTTTGCGGAGCTCTATGCGGGGCGGCTAGTGGTCCATTAAGGGTCGCTGCGGCCGCTCTAGTAGCCGCGGCGGCCAGGCAACTAGATGCTTTACTGCAATACCGAGCCGCCGCCAGACGATCTGCTACCCCGCATAGAATGCATCTAACTACGTGTGTCCTACACTTCTATCAACAAATTGAGAGGCCTCATATGTATATACGGTGAGTAATAATAATAATTAATTTGTCTTTAAACTTATTTTACGCTCAATAGAGATTAACCAACTATGTAAGGAGTCATTGGAAGATTTTCCTCCCTCGAAAAATTGGTATTGTAATTTGTAGTACAAGAAAGTATCTGTGGAAACAAAGGCTTTCTACTAATTATGTTTTATGATTTGATCACGTAATTGTCTGATTAAGGTATATCTACTAGTACAAGCCTCGCTAGGAGCTCATAGTCATGAGCAGCTTTATGTGAATTACGACGCGGTAAACCAACTGTTGGTTGACGAACAAGCAATTACAAATATGCATAAACCGTATAACATAATTAAATATAGGTACCTATATAGTGTTCATTGAATACTTCGATCAACAATAACAACTAGATAAAGGGTTACGTACAAAATCAAGCTCCAGTTCTGTCCGTGTGAATAATAATAGTAAAAAAATAACAAACAGAGAAAAATGTTTTAAAATAGTTTTAAGTTCAACCTAATAAAAACCATGGCACCTAATAATAAAGTCATAAATCGTCAAAATATTATCTAATACTTACGACCATTCGTCATATAAGACAAGAAAAGTATTTTCTTACTCCTGTCATGTAGAAATTAAAAGACATAAGTTATACAATATCTAGTTTGAATTCAACCTTAAGGTCGAACAAATAAAGATAATTTTTCCATTATTTTCTTGCGATCTATATCGTTTTGTTTTGATTCGTTTTGCTTCTTCAAATTTCGAATTTCGCTACAGGAGGTATGTATGGAGTCGCGTTGGACACTAAAATAATTTTATAATATGAAAATTAACATTTCGGGATCTTAGTATACATCACTAATTTTTATTAGCGGTACGTTTTTGTGTATGATATGTTTATTTACTTTATCGTTAAAAGTCTAAGTCTAAGTCAAAATTATTTATTTCAGTTATACCAGGAAGGCACTTTTGAACCACAACAATATAAATTTAAAAGTGAAGCTATTTGCTCATTCCAAGGTGTAGATTCCTATGGAGAAGAACGAGCAAGAAACGATACAATTTCTTATTTTTTCAATACAAATCGACTCCATGCATCCACTGTTCTGTTTATACAAATGTTGGCGAGACTTGGCCAAGGAATCGCCAACACACGCACAAACATTGGTGGCGTTGGTTTATAATTGATAATTTTGTCTAATTTGATATTATTTACTAGTTTAAAAGCTTAAAATATAACTTATACTTTATGTACTTATCAAAAGTAAGACACTCCGGCCGTTATACTGCTTTTTCGGTTGTTATTTTTGCAACTTGCAATTACTCGTGAGACGTGAGTACGTTGGCCGTGTTTGGAGCATACTAAACAAAATAAGAGCTCACTTCTCAAGTGAGCTCTTATTTGTCGAGACGATTTTCTTGCGCCGACCCGATATCTAGTTGTTATTGTTGATCGAAG